GGGGGGTTGGGAGGTGACGCCGGGAAAAGAAGCATATCGACGTGTTTTTATTAAAATGCATATTTTTTGTCAGCAAAAAAAACTTGAACTATGTTGCTTATACCAAACAGTTTTGAATTAAATTGTAGAAACTATTTTTGGAGGACAGAATGGCCGAGTTGTGCTCGGCTGGTGGAAGAGGTATTACTTTTTTGCATATGAATTTGTGAGAAGAAAAAATCTTCATCTAAAAGGGGATCTTAAAAAGCAGTTAGAAATTGCTAATTTGCCTTTGAAAGTAAATCCATCCAGAAACATTTTTAAAAAAAAAAAAAGTGTTGTTTTTTGTTAATTTGAATACAGTATGAGCAAGGAGGTGTTTGATAATTGGGTACAATCTTCGTTGTTTTTAAATTTCGGATGTATGAATGGTCAGTATTATTTCCATTTTTTGTATTTAATTTTTTTCTCCTGAACAAAAAACAGTAATCGAAACCACGTTTGTAAATAACCCGTCTAATAAAGACTTTATTTTATGTAAAACATAAAAAATATTTGGAAAAAGTATCAAATGAACAGGAATGTTTCGGTCCATTAAAGACGCAGGAATATTTCGGTCTTAACCTTTTGCATTCACTTGCTTTGTTGCCTCAAACAGTTGTAGTTTCATCACCTCATTTCTTGTCTTTTTTTGCACACTGCAACACTTCTGCATTTTTTTGTATTTTAGGATCTCAGCTTCTTGCGTCACTTCACATTCTTGCTTTTTTTTAAGTCATTCATGCTCCACACTGGTGACCTCATGTTGTATTTTCTAAAGCTTTAAATAAATTTGGCCTCTGAAAATTCAGCTTTGTGCTTCCACACGACGAAAAATTCTGCTTCAGCAAGGCGAAATCAGATTTGGATGTTCCAGATAGTTCAGGAAGATTCTGCGCAATGTAAATCCGGGCTGTACGAAAAAAAGTTGTGTAACGGGAAAAATATTAGCCATGGAAATGTAGAGGTTCACTGATCCGTTGTGGAAATTCGCGATTGTCCCATGGCAATTATGTTTATTTGCATAATTCCAAATAAAGACAGTTTTATTAAAATCCCATAGCTCTGTCGTCAACACTTCTACACAAACTACTAAGATTTTGAAGGTGACGAGGAACGAACAGGGTTCGCGTTTCACAACCATCGATCAG